TATATGTATATATATATATATTCATATATGTGTGTGTATATATACATATATATGTCTGTGGGTACATACAGTATACACACACGTTTTCCAGCAACACAAATTAAATGTCTGTTTGTGAATAAGCTTTGAACACATTGTAAACAATCGACAAAATACACACAAAATACACCCGAGACTGAAGGAGTTTATTAGGATTCCTGAGATAATGACGAGACGAGAGACGCTGGACTTTTTACAAGATTTGATTTTATTCACTATGATACAGATCACGTAAGGCCTTGCTGTTTACACCGTTCCCATTTGAGACAAATTACCATACTCAGCAAATGTGTTTCTGTGTGTGTGTGTGTTTATCTTTTCAGTTTACAGTACTTCATCTGTTCATTCATTTTTTCTCTTCTATTTTTTTTCTTTTCCCATTGTTTTATTTTTATTTTTTTTTATTTTTTCCATCTTTTTTTCTTTAACAGTGAGCTCGATGGCGCCCTCTTCCCCGGTCAGGAAGAAATCATGCACTACACTGGGCTGCTCTCTCTGCCATTCACAAAGAAATTAGTTAAAAAGGTTTGCAATTTTTTTTAATTAAAATAAAACATAAAAAGAATTGTTTTTTATATCACCACAGACTAAAGGCCAAAGTGTTAGACCCCTCCCCCCCGAACCCCAACATACCAATAAACAACCATCTGAATATAGTTTTGCTTGTTTCTCATTTTAAATTAACAAACATGTCTCCATCGGGGGGAAAAAAAAACAAAAAAACAAGAGACAAGAAAAAGAAAGAAAAACAACATTGTTGCTGAAACGTAGTCACATTATTTATTCTAATTCTTCTCCCAAGCTGTCACTCTGCTTCCGACCCTTTTTCTCCCTCCACAGTCACTTCAGTATGAACACAATGTTACACACAGGAAAGGCCACCAGCCTCACACACAGGGGCCGGTGGTCGTCTCTGCTTCCTCCCAAATAATGATCCCATTCACCCTCCCCTGCCTCCCACCTCTCTGTCACACACTCTCTGAGGGTCACGGTGTCTGTGTGTGTGTGTTTGTGTTGGTGTGATGTGGACGCACTAACAGAGTTTACACTGTGGACTAATGACCTAAAACAAGAGCTGCCTCTCTCTCCTTTAATTTGTCTGGAAGGATCACGCTGGTGGCCATCTGCCCCGCACAGCTTGTTGACATGTCACACCAAACACTCACTCCTAATACCTGCAGTCTGTCTGACACACACTGACACACACACACAGAGTAAATCGGTAGTGTGAACTGATGAAAGCTCCGAGGCTGATTTTCACCTCTTTAGGAGACGATAATACAGAAGAGAAATGCAGACAAGCGATCGCGTCGAGCTCCACCTGAACATTTCAACAACCACGCTTACACAGATGCACACAAAGTCTAGTGGCTCAGATCAGGGCTCCGTTTTTTTTTTCTGCTTCCTGAATCCCCCCTATTTTTCCCCTGGTTTCTACGGTAACTGCAAGCTAGGCCCAGGAATTCTGTGATGCTCCATTCCAGTCATGCAGACGGATGAATGGGCTGTCTGTTCTGTCTTCCTGTCCTCCCAGACCCAACTGTCTTGCTTGGACGGTGACCGATTGATTGACTGACTGACTGACCAGAGGGCGGTTTGGTGAGTCGTGTTCACACTGTTGCAAAGTATATTTTAAAATCAAACCAAGAGCAGGTACAAGTCTGCCTCTTTTTACGAGCACAACACCACTGTCTCCTGGGAGCAAAACTTGGCAGGATCTCCACTAACACAGTTGGTATTTAATTCCAAAAATCCTCCCACCATCTTAAATATAAATTATGTTTCAGGATATTTTTTCTGCACTGTATTCAAACCCCCCCCCCAAAAAAAAAAAAAAAAAATCACTTCCGGCTCTTGGAGGATGGTAGGTTTGGTGCTTTGGTTATTTCCACAGGGGAATAGAAACTAGCAACAACAATCATATGATATATTTTCATTTTACTGCATGTCTGAGTTACTGCAATGTGGACATTTCTTTATCATCCCAGCCAGTCCTTGTAATCTAAACTAATTTGTGAATCTAATTTGAATCTATCCTTGATCTGCCCTAAAGTTAATCTGACCTAACAAAAACAAACAATGAATCATAAAACAGAGAATGAGAAGAGACCAAAAAAAAAACCACAGTGGGGAACAGTGCTACGCCCATGCAGCAAAGACAGAGGTTGAGAGGCTGCAGTACCCATTTCTTCCTCTAGATGTAAGTGTTGTGCTCCCAAATGAAGGAAGAAACGGAGAGAGGGAGAAGTGTAGGATGTCTGTCACGTCGTGGCAGCTCCAAATTTAAACATGTACCTTCAAAGTGCTCAGAAAAAGTGCTTTTTGCACCCGGTCCCTCGTCTGAAAACTGCAGCAGCGACTCACCCGGGAAACCAACCACAGTCTGAGAGAAGGAAGAGACCAAGGTGAGGTGAGGTGAGGTGAGATGAGGGACCAGCACCAGAATTTATCCCAACATTCAACATTAATTCAGGTCAAATTTATGTAGAACAGCTGGCGCACGCGGACACTCACACACACACACACACGGGGTCACTGTGGACAGATGAGCTCAGCAGGATTCTGTGTCAGGTCTCAAGGGGAAAAACAAAGCATAGAAAAGAAAAAAAGAAATACGAAAATGAGATTCTCTCATTAAAGCTTCATCTGTGACTTCAAATGAAGCTTCAAATGAGAATAAGAGAATAAAAGGGATCAAATTGGAAAGTGGGAGTGGGCCTTCCCAGAATGCCGTAGCTGTACGAGTACCCAGAATCCTCTGCTCCAATTTGCTGCCCAGTAGATCTGGTTGGTTGAGATTTTTGTTTTTGTTTTATGTGCTTGGCATTCCGCCTCGACTGAAATGGATTGTGTGTGTGTGAGAGTGTGAGAGAGAGGCTGACAGAGAGGAATGTGAGTCACGGAGGACTCAACGTCCCGCTGAGTGAGGAGTAAAACATGTTTCTGCCTTGAGTCTTCTCTGTACAGTGGTGAGAAGGAACCATCCACCCTGTCCCAGCACCGGTCTCCAGGCAGGTGAGGGTAGTCAGCCTGCTCTCCAAACGCTCCAGCACCAAACTTACTGGCTGAAGATCTGAGGAGAATTAAATTGGCACAATGGCACTTTGGCCACTGGACGTTTGTTTTGTTTTGTGTTTCTTTTTTTTTTTCCCTCGTGGTGAAGCATTTCCAACATTAACACAGCGACAGTTCACATTTCCACCTGCTCTCCACCCCAGGGTCCCTTTAAAAGTCACTGGCAACATCTCACTCTTCTTCACGTGTGGATTCCTCCGTAAGGCCACGAAGGAGACACGGCGATGAAGTGGCGAGGAGGGAGAAAAATCATACAGCCAGTCCAGAGGCTCTTCAGTGTTCTCCTGTTCTGCCTTGTGAGTATGTTTTCTATAGGATTCTCCCCGTACTTACTGCATCTCGTTCACTCTCTCCCAATTTCCGCTGCTCCCGTTTCTCATCCTGTTCTCCTCCGTCTTTATTTCTCTCATCCTTGATCAATGACCAC